AGAGCGAGACTGAGTCTGCGCCGGCTGGCTTGCACGGTTTGTGACATGGGGGTCTAGAGGGGGGAGAGGCCCCCTCGAGAGCGCCACATCTGGATCCTGCTAGGGGTCAAGGCTTCTCCTGCCTGAGGCCTGCACAATAATTAACGGAGACACCTTGTTTAACCATTTCGAGTCAGGGCCCCTCTCTCGTGCACAAAACAACACTGGTTTTTCTTTCATTCAAATAAACGGCGTTGGCATATATTATTAATCCAGTTCTGTGTTCTGCATTCTTGGGGAAGGTGGAGGAAGGTGACAGAGCGGAAAGATAGGAATTGGGTTTTAGCTCGAATTATCCTTTTACCTATATTTACACTTATTTATGGCTAAGTAATACAGCTTTGGATTATCAAATCAGGTTTTGGGACGTGTATGCGAGTTGCAGTGCAATTTTCACAGAGCGTGGGACTTGATAGCTGAAACATATGTTTCCCTAGAGGGGCCGCTTAGACTCCACCATTCTTTTAATTAAAACACCATTATCTCTGAGCGCATGACGAGACGGAGATCTGGTGGAGAGGGGTCACTAATGACAGTATAATTATGTTTCATGGTCTCAATTTCGATTATTATAAATGAGACGTCTCTTTACTTGAGACTAAACTATATATCAGATAAATAGTGAACGCAAGTGTTGCATTCAAAATCATGAACTGCATTTGTGAAAAAAAGCAAAGCATTGAGATCAGCATGCTATTCGTTGTTTGATGACAACAATCTTGTCTTGCTCTGTTTAGACATCATCTGCTTATCTAAACCATGAGACAGCGTGTTTTCAACTCTCAAAATGTAATGATAACTTGTCCAAAAGAAATGTAGTTTTATTTATGGAGCAAACATCCTCACGAGGTGCATCATTAAACCTAGAAAAATCAGCCTCTTTTCTCGCGTGGCACTTGCCCAGGTCATTATGAGTCCAGCGGTAACAAACATTTTGGAAGGCCAATAAACAGATGCATGTTGGTTTATGTAGTGAGCCACAGAACATCTGGCTCGACGCTGGAGCTTGACAGCCAGGCATTTCTCCCAACCACGACCTGTGGGAAGCCAGTGGCCCAACGCTACTGGAAAAAACCCTGAAGTGCCAGAGTAAGACTAACCCAGAGTGAGACCAGAGGCTTCCTCAACTTTAAAAGAAAGAAAGAAGAAAAAACGGTGTGGGAACAACATGGTAAATTGACTTTCGACCATACAATTACATAACGCGCTACTAAAGTCTGCAACTATACGACCTATCTATCTATCTATCTATCTATCTATCTATCTATCTATCTATCTATCTATCTATCTATCTATCTATCTATCTATCATTTATCATATATATATCTATCTATCTATCTATCTATCTATAATTTATAATTTATCATATATCATATATCTATCTATCTATAACAATTTTTCGAGAAATTCTCGTGCGAGGCGGTCCGGATAGGCATCGTGCTCCTCAGGTTGCTCTAGACCGTCACGAACCTCTTTCCTCTCACGCGTGGAGAATCACACGGACATCGGGAAATAAAATAGAGACTGCTGCACACAACAGCAAACTGTCTGGCCTCCTGCTCCGGGCCATAATTAATTTGAGATTTATTTTTATTGGAAAGCTCCAGTCCCGCCCGGCCTTAACCAAACAAAAACCTTAACCCGTGGCTTCGCCTGAATGAAGCTGAATATTTCTCTGAAACTGGCCTTTCTTGAGGCGTGCTCAATCTTGTCTTGCTCTGTTTAGACATCATCTGCTTATCTAAACCATGAGACAGCGTGTTTTCAACTCTCAAAATGTAATGATAACTTGTCCAAAAGAAATGTAGTTTTATTTATGGAGCAAACATCCTCACGAGGTGCATCATTAAACCTAGAAAAATCAGCCTCTTTTCTCGCGTGGCACTTGCCCAGGTCATTATGAGTCCAGCGGTAACAAACATTTTGGAAGGCCAATAAACAGATGCATGTTGGTTTATGTAGTGAGCCACAGAACATCTGGCTCGACGCTGGAGCTTGACAGCCAGGCATTTCTCCCAACCACGACCTGTGGGAAGCCAGTGGCCCAACGCTACTGGAAAAAACCCTGTAGTGCCAGAGTAAGACTAACCCAGAGTGAGACCAGAGGCTTCCTCAACTTTAAAAGAAAGAAAGAAGAAAAAACGGTGTGGGAACAACATGGTAAATTGACTTTCGACCATACAATTACATAACGCGCTACTAAAGTCTGCAACTATACGACCTATCTATATCTATCTATCTATCTATCTATCTATCTATCTATCTATCTATCATTTATCATTTATCATATATCTATCTATCTATCTATCTATCTATCTATAATTTATAATTTATCATATATCATATATCTATCTATCTATAACAATTTTTCGAGAAATTCTCGTGCGAGGCGGTCCGGATAGGCATCGTGCTCCTCAGGTTGCTCTAGACCGTCACGAACCTCTTTCCTCTCACGCGTGGAGAATCACACGGACATCGGGAAATAAAATAGAGACTGCTGCACACAACAGCAAACTGTCTGGCCTCCTGCTCCGGGCCATAATTAATTTGAGATTTATTTTTATTGGAAAGCTCCAGTCCCGCCCGGCCTTAACCAAACAAAAACCTTAACCCGTGGCTTCGCCTGAATGAAGCTGAATATTTCTCTGAAACTGGCCTTTCTTGAGGCGTGCTAAGGTAAATCTCCTTTTTCCGCTCAAATTCTACCCGCCAGCAACAACAGCCAAATATGGCCGTTTTAACCCGGTCTCATGAAAGTGCGTATCAATACCACGACTTTCTATTTCTAGCTGGCGTGCTATTTATACGCCGAGATGACTCTGGCGTGCATATGATGCGTAATGGTTAGGATTAGGGGTGGGGTGTGGGGTAGGTGCGTCTTTTTAAACACGCGTAAACTGCGTATCACATGCACGCCAAGACATTGCGTATCATATGCACGCGAAAACTACGTATTATATGCACGCCAAAGTCAGTTTCTTCGTATAAATAGCACGCCAAATATTTTTTTTAATGCAGACACACCCCCGGAGGGTTTAAAAATAAGCATAGATACAAATCATTATACACAATAACAATAAAAACAAAAATATTCCCAGAAACTTCTATTGCTCCATTTTATTGTACGTGGCCCAACTCCACTGCCACTGCCACGCAGCGCACTATTTATTATTCAGTCTGTGGAGAGAAAGCTGGATTTCAAAGAGAAGGTTTTCCCTCAACATTCCTGCGCTGCTAATGTCTCGAAACAAATCGAGGACTGTTCGTGGGACTGTGAAACGCAGCCCCTCTGTGGAGGAACACAAACTATAGCGTCTGCATGAAAAGCTCCCTTATGCAGGGGGGGCAATAAGTCTCCATAACATAACAACTCGGCTCTGGAAAGTATGCTGATTGTAAAGATATAATGAATGACTTTAGCAGGCACAGTACTTCATTTTCATGGCTCTGTCTGTGCGCTGTGCACTAAGCCTTTTGATACAATAAAGTTATTGCTGTGGATCTTTGCCATAAATAACCATCCAAATATGCCAATGTACATGTCAGCCTCTAAAAGAATGAACAGTGATAATACAACATGCCCTTCATAAATTGGCAGCCTATAGAACTCCATGTTAGCACCAGAAAGTGAGCAATTCAGTATAAGTGACATAATCAATGAAGACCCAAAACCCATCTGTAGAGATTCCTTAAACAGTTCGAGTTCTAAATGGAAACTTCCCTATGTATGGATTGTCGAACTTAGTTCATGCAAAAACATATGTCTGCCATTTGCAATGTTTACATTCTTTAAGACCATGTCGAGAGAGAGAGAGAGAGAGAGAGAGAGAGAGAGAGAGAGAGAGAGAGAGAGAGAGAGAGAGAGTGCAATAAGA